GAATAACGGCCGATGCGCGCGTGGAGTAGGATTCCAGAAAGCAGAACAACCTACGAGAGTCGATCCAAGCACTCTCGACCGTTGCAGTTATGTACTTTGTACGTAGCTACCCAGCGAAATTCGATCGGACCGCTTAATTAACGGCTGCGATTCCACGCTGTTTGCGCCGCGTTCCAGTTCCTGCTCGTTATCCGAAAGGAAGTTCGGGAAAACTGGCGGGAACGGTAACAACTCCGCCACTAGAGACGAACATTTTTTTCGAATTACAAGAATTTTCCGACTCGCGGCTCGTTCGTTACGATGCCTCGGAAAGAATTAATGGCTTGCTCAGGTAAGAAGCGCGTGGAACGCGATCGGAGCGAGCCGGTTCGCGAAGAATTTCGCGATGGCACGCCAACGATCCGTGCGATTTCCGTTCCGGAATTAGCGGAGAAAATTGCGGAAATGATCTAGAGCAGGGTTGCGGTCGAAGCTAATTCGAAACGAGAACTCGACCATCCTTCGAAGCGTTCGAGGTCGATGCTTCGATCGATTAGTCTCGCGCGCGGAAAGGAAAGACAGACAACTGTACGAATTACGGACAGATGTTTCCGTATCCCGGCACAAATTCAAGCAAATCGAAATTGCCCATACGGATTGTAAAATCGATCGTTTCCAGCCGCGCGGTGGAAACGCGTGACTTCGTATTGCCTTTGTTACTCGTTCCTGAACGTCGATCAATCGAGTTTATCGTTTTCCGTTTCGAGTGCAGTTGCACGTTTCGATTTGTTGCCGAACCGAGATGTTTTTTTTATAACGTTTAATAGTACGCGTTTTAATCGGAGTTTGACACTTTTTTTGACGCCTTCTCGTTCCTTTGACTCGATAACGGTGCTCGTCGTGAACGATTGGAATTTCGTGCAAACAGAAGCGTTCCGTTCTCTACCGGGACGCTTTAATTTGGAAATCGTTCGCCGGAAAAGAGAGGATCGAAAGCGTTTGCACCTGTCGTTTGTTCGTCTCGCGTCGACAAACGATGCGACCGACATTCGTATGCAAACGTTACTCGATCGACGGTCATCGTCGCGTAGAAGACGATCCGCTCTCCTCGTTTTCGCAGTTTCCACGCGATTCGCGTCGTTAACGATGTTCGCGCGTCGAAATTACGATCGTTACGTTCGAGGCGGCAGATGGCACGACAAACACCCTCTTCGCCGGTTAAATTTTCGGCGAAAAGTTGCCGAAGGTTTCGGATAGAAACTTGGTTGCTCACGCGAGAACCTTTCGATGTGATTGCAGACCGAATTGTCGCAAAATTTGCAACAGCTGTCGGAAAGGGCTCGGTCGACGACGGAATTCATTCAGAGGCTCAAAGGGATGACGGACAAAGTGCACGTGAGTATTCGCCTTGGGCATGCTTTTTACATTTCGAGGCAGGAACGAAGGACTAGCTTTCGTCCAAGTCTGCCTTCGCGAAATTACGGAAGGACTCGGCGTTAATTGCATCAGTTGGCGTATTCTCTTCTACCTCTGTTTCATCTCGGCCTCCGGTTGTCTGCGCGCACCGACGTCGATGCTAGAACCACCCCGTCGAGCTAAAAGCTACCTCCAAAATTATTACGAACGCTATGCGACGTTCCAAGTATTCGTGGCGTGGAATCGCGTATTTTACCAGATAACAGTAGGGGGAGTCTGCTAAGAGTACGCACCTGAGAGATCTAAGTTTATAGTGGCTCCATTCTTTCTGATACCAAGAAAATGAAAAAATATATTAAACTACACCACCTTCCTTTCAAACTGATTCTTACGAACACTGTTTTATTTTAAATTTACACACAATTTATTTTGTCAACATAAGTATACTATGTTCGTTTCAAATCTGTAATAATTACATAAATAAATCTATGAGTAACATACACAGTGGTAAGATGTATGTGTACTCTCGAAGAGGTTAATATTTGACGCAATCATTGCTCCTCGCCTTCTCGCGTTCGCAGGAAGAGTGCGTCGCTCTGGAAGAAGAGGTGGAGGATCGCGTGGCGAACCTGGTGAGTCTATTGCAGGTGAGAAAATCTCGGCTGATCGAAGCTGCCCGTCAGACCAGGGAAGCTAGGGTGCGTTCGTTGAGGGACCAAGTTGCCAGATGCGCGTCCCACCTGCAGGCGACCACGGCTCTCCTCACGTTCTGCATCGAGGCTCTAAAGGAGACCGACGGTGCCGCCTTTCTGCAAATTGGCGGCATGCTCTCGGTCAGAGCCGCCACCGCTGCCGGTTCCTGGGGTGGCGCCGAGGGCGTGCAAGAAATTGCTCGGTTACCGCTGCTCGATCTCACCCTGGACGACAAACCGTTGCGACGCGCCATCGATCAGCTCACCTTCGTTCAATTGAAACGTAAGCCCCATCCTGAATTCGCGCTTTCCTTTTGGTAGTCCGTTTGTCGATTCCACCAGAGACCCGCGTTTTATTGAAACTCGATTCGTTTCTTGAAACTAGTAATCGAATGTCTCTGGTTAACTATAGAGAATCGAACAGTTCAGAGCGACGTCTTTGGTACGTCGTGGTTGCAACGCGAAGTACCAAAGACGTGATTTAATGGTGTTTGTGGAAATCGTTTAATTTATAAACGTTGTTCGAATATAAACGGTTGTCTCACGTTGGACGCAGCATCCGAAGGAGAAGAACGATTCCCGACCGCAGGTAATTGATCAAACGGACTTTCCGCGAATGCATTTTTAAGGCTAAACTCGACTTACCGTGAAAAACTGTCGCAGAACTGGCCGAGGGGTAGTTCGAAAATACGACGCGGTTTACGATGTTTTTTTCGTGCGCGTGGTCGACGTTTCGAAACCGTAACCCGTAACCGATAAAACTTTGTCGCGAGCTCCGAGACCGCTGTAAACTTCAACTGCCGATGTACTTTTTCTCTCGTAAAACGGGAATAATCGCGACGGTTGTAAGTTACAAATATGTAGTCGGTTGGATTTTATCCTCATAATACCGTCGGTAAATCCACTCTCGGAAGTTCTGTAAGCTTTTGTGTTTGGCTTTTCCGGCTAGAATTTTCGCATTGTTTCGTCTCGTAATTGTTTGATCAAATTTTTACTCGTCGATCATCGGTAACTCTCGTGACAGTTAAAACGGATTATCCGAGGTAGCGAAAATCCGTCTTGTTTCACCGCGATGTCTCGAAACTCGTCTAATGCCCGAATCTCGTAGAAAAGTTAGACACGCGAGATCGTCGGAAAAGTTTCGCGCACCGAACGCGGAGTGCATCGTCTCGTTTCCAGCGTTTCGAATAGCTGGCCGTTCGTTTCGCGACAGCGTCCATCCGTCTTCGCGCAAATCCTCGTTCAACGGGTAGAACGATCGCGTACGTCGATGGAATCGATCCGATCAGTCTTTCGACCTTCGATCGCGCCATATTTCTTCCGTCCACGTTTCTCGCGTTTAAGAAGAATTTTTGCAGCGCCCGGAGCACCGATATTGATACCGGAAGAATGCAGCGCCGAGAACAACAGCGTTACCGTTGCCTGGCAGCCTCCGCCGGGACACGGGATCGTGGGCTGCGCGGGTCAAAGAGGCCCCGCCATCGACGGATACCTTCTCGAACTAGACGACGGCTGTGGCGGAGAATTTCGAGTGAGCAGAAACTCGGAGTTGCGACGACCGCGGTCGGAGAATAGATTACCATAATCAAGTTTCGTTGTCCAGCTTTACCGTCGAAAACTTTTGCTCGACTCGTTCGTTGGTCGAAGTTAACGCGATTCGTCGTAGACGACTACGAAACGTTTCTCCGACCACGGTCTGGAAAACAACCGGAGCGATTAATCGTTCGCTTTTGTCCGTTTAATCAGGAAGTGTACTGTGGCCGAGAAACGATCTGCACCGTGGACGGATTGCATTTCAATTCTCTGTACAATGCCAGGGTGAGAGCGTTCAACAGCGCCGGGGAAGGCGAATATTCGGAGCTGATCGGCCTTCAGACAGCCGAGGGTGAGTTTTTTTTTTCTGTTCGTTTCTCGGCTTTTCCCCAGGGCCGACAACCTGGAACGGAAAATCGAGACGTCGGTATCGAGTGAAAGACGAACGATCGTAGCTGACGGGTTAACGCGTTTTTCGCCGAGGAGATTACGCGATCGAAAATATTCGATGCCGGTTACTGAACCGTCGTTTCGCGAAATTAGAATCTTATCTACGAAGTCGAATCGACAGCACCTCCGAGTTGCACGTTTCGATTTTGTTACTCCCGGAAATCGTATAGGCCAGTCGCTCCTGATTTCGATATCCATTTTCCAACGCGGATGGGTTTCGACGTTCGGAATCGCGACGCGTTTGTCCACTCGATTCCGTCGCTCGTCATCCGAGAACAATGCTCGCCGGCAACGAGTATCGACCGGTGTCGCGGCGCGGTTCATTCGATCGGTCGATTATTTATGGCGGATACCCGTTATCGTTTCGGTTGACAGTGGCATGGTTCTCGTGGGCAACCGGGGCGTCCGGTATACCACAGGAGGTATCCATTTCCGAGGACGCGATGAGTGCGTCCTGCGAGGGTTACGAGCACCGAGTCGTCCTCTCGAGCGTCGGATTTTCACGGGGCGTCCACTACTGGGAGCTGACGATCGATCGCTATCACAGCGACACCGATCCTGCTTTCGGCATAGCCAGAGCCGAAGTATCCCGGGATCGAATGCTCGGTAAGCGATACCGACTCTTATAAATCGAGATCGAAAACGCGTTATTTCGCAAAGATTTCGTGTACAAAGGTCGATCGATACGCGCAGCCTCGTATTTCCATTTGCGTTGACGTGGCTGAAACTTCGGAACGATTTATCGCGAACGCGGGATAGGTCTTTACTCGAACGATCGTTACTCGTAGGCAAGGACGACAAGGGTTGGAGCATGTACATAGATCGGCAACGTTCGTGGTTCATGCACGGCGGTGGACACGCGCAGAGGACCGAAGGTGGCGTGCAACAGGGTTCCACGGTGGGCGTCCTCTTGGACCTCGACACGACTCACACGCTTCGTTTCTTCGTAAACGATCAACCGCAAGGAGGGATCGCGTTTCGCGATCTCTACGGCGTATTTTATCCGGCTGTCAGTCTGAATCGAGGGGTGACCGTCACGTTGCACACCGCCCTGGACGTACCGCGTCATTTGTTGGCGCTGCACGAGGAGTACATGAGCGACGTGATTCAGAGCTAGGGATACCTAAATGTCCTGAAGAAGGGCCTGTTGCAGGAAGTCGGCTCGCCAACTTCCGTCGACAAGTCGACGGAAAAGACCAGGGAGTTCAACGGTCAGTTGGAGAAGATCGTCGAGGAGAGCCTCGGCGAGATCAATTGACGATCACCGGTCGGATCGTCCACGCGTAATATCAAATTTTTCTGATTTTCTATTTATTTTGTCCCGCAAGAATCGAGGAACGATCGGGCGTATTCGACTCCCGTCGCGTCGGGCGATCGATAATCGTTTTTCTCGACAATATATCTTTTAGAGGCGAGGAGAATCTTTTGAAACGCGACGACTAACGTCGCGGTACGCGGAACGTCTCGCGATCTTTGATCAAAAATCACTGCCAACGGCGCGAGATTTATCGAATCAAAGACTGCTGCCATTTTCTAGAGAGAAGAAAGGTAAAAAGTACGTAAACCGAAGTGTTCTCCGTCTAAGGATCGCGTGCGATCGTATTCTTATTCATATCGATACGTATAAGCATAATCGCGTAGATTTAAGGTAAGTTCTATCGATATTTAATAGGATGCATTGTTAAGAAAGAAAAAGAAAGGGAAAAGATGCACGCGTGCACCGAAGCTCGGCTTTAGTGTAAAATAACGTCTCGATTGAACGTTTTCTAGTCCCTGATAGAATTTTCTATCCAGCTTTCCCCCTTTTTTCGATTTTAATATTTCTTTTTTACCGTTTTGTACGAGGAAAGATCGCGAGCAAACGCGTCACGGGAATACGAATTTAAGATTATCGAAGATAGATGTTGCAGCGCACAAACTCGTGAAACCATTCCTCCTCCAGCGACGAGGAGAATCAACGTCAGCGTTGTACATATTTGTATATACATATTTCGATTGTACCGCCGATCAATTTGCCAACTGTATCTACGATTCTATCCGATCAATAAAACGCACCAGAAAGAGAAATAGTTCTCTGTCGTTCTTTCTCCGCGAACATCTCTCCCTATCCTTCGCGATTCTCGGACGCGAAGTTTTCTACTCGCTAGCTCGCGTAACCGATATGATATTCGATGCCTCTTTCTTTGAGCAACAGACGGAAAAGAAATACGTTTCACGGCCGTTTGATACCGGAGATTTTCTAGTCCAACAGCGGTGGACGCGAGAAAAGTCGTTAGGACGAGGAAAGAGGACGCTTTTGGTTCTTTGTAATCGTCGAAGAGAGAGGAACGGACGAACGAGATAGCAGCGGAGAGAAGAGGAGAGGGACGGTGTAGCGGAAGAGCTCTTCGGAACGGACACCGTTCAACGGAGAATGCAGCTAATTTGTTTGGAAACGACCCTCGACTCGTAAGTACTCTAATCCTAGTTTAAGCGGAGCTTCCACGGAATTAAAGGAGGCACCCGTGGAAAGCGTATATTTCCAAATTATTCTCGTCCGTGTACGGCGTTCTCGATTCGCGCGAACTCGCTTCGTTCGAGATCGTGTCGATCTCGTTTCGTTTGACTTTCTCCGGTGTTACAAATATATCGTAGCCGAAATTTCGTTCGTTTTTCGTGCCGGTATTTCAAACGATCTCGATTCTTTAATCCCTTTGCACTCGAACGTAAATGGGAAACAGAGATTATCCTCTCGCGACGCGGCCAGATTCCGAGAAAACTGTTTGAACTTCGAAACCGGTAAATTTGTCGTCAAAGGAGAAGAGAACGTAATCCGATCGGAGGATTTCACGGATCAACGAAAGGTAGAACGACACAGAGGCGGTTCGACGACGAAATTCTGTTATCTTGCGGAAGAAAATCAATCGATGGCTCTGCTTTACGAAGTTAGACGCGGTAATTGCGGCGGACAAATTTCTGCTTTCCGACATTGTCGGTCTTTAAAAAAAAAAATAGCGTCGAAACGCTATGGGGACGCAAATCGGCTACGTGCGAAGCACGGGAAGAACCGACGAAGCGAATCTGACGATGATAAATTTCTTTTTCATCGATGGAAACGAGCGACAGCTGTCGCGGAATACATATTTGGCCCGCTGCTTCCAAGTTCGTCACGGGTTAACAAGCTGACTCGATTCGCGCAAAGATTAACGAGCCACCTCTTTCGCCACGATTAATAATAAGAGGACGGATTTAAACTCCGATTTGTTTCTCGTCGTAACGTTTAAAAACCATTAACTTCGCCGTTAATATCGACGAAACGAGGTTCGTGAGACATCTTGGAGAAAATTAACTGGGGACGAGTTTTCCTCGGGCTTTCAACGTCCCCGAAACAGTAAGAACGATATCGTATCGCGTCGTAAAGTCCAAAAGTTTTCTAATCGTCGGTAAACGATCGCTTCTTGACGCGGAAGAATAAGAATAGCGATAACGATAAACGTTTAAAGACAGGAAAAACTCGATCGTTGCGAACCGTCACGAATCTTTCGAACGATCACCGAAGTTTTTTTCTAAATTGCAAAGGGAACGAAATCGTTTCGTGTCGGATCGGACCAGAAGAAACGAAAACGTGCGACGATGCAAAATATTTTTTACCGCTCTCTTTTCTCCTCCGCGCATCCGATACTCATCAGTCTGATGGCTTTCGCTTAATATTTCTGCCCAGCGCAGTCGGTGTTTTAACCAGCTGACGCGTATCCACCGACCATTATATTCGACGAACGAAATGTACGTGCCCGTTTCGCGTTCTTCCTTCTCGAACTCTTTATCCAGTCAACCATACCGATCTCTTCTTCCGTACTTTAATCGCACGAGAATAATTGCCAACCGACGCGACCATCGGCCTATCGTAAACTCTCCGCTATCGCTCCTTTATTAAACATCGCGAGTTTACTCTGTTTTATTATCCGTTTTCAAGATCGCAGGGCTGGGTAGAACAAATAGAACAGGAGACGATTCTTCGCACGAAAATAGATCGGAAATTACGGTTCTTACTCTACTCACGTTTCCAAGAAAATTTACAAGGTGTTTGCTAAATAATCAAGATCGGAGAAAATCAAAAAAGTAATAACACACTTTTAAATATGAAATAGTTATTTAATATTGAACATAAATAATACACATTTTAACTAATAATTCAGGGGTTCATCGTATACCAATTACATCGCGAACGTTTATATTATATGAACAACAAGGAAGTGCATTTTTCAATTATTTTTGTTTCTAACATCGTACATTTCTAGCACTGTAAGCCACAAGCTAAATTTGTTAATAATTTAACAGTGTTTCTTACTCCAAATGCTGTCAGAATATTTTGTGACGACGTAAAAAGAACTTACACAAATATTTTATTTCAAAGTTATAACGAAAACACCATTCAAAAGACTCAAAGTTTATATAATATTTATGTCCTCTTTCATAAAATTGTCTGCACAGGAATAACCCTGTATACTCAAGTCTAATAATACGATTTAGCTATATTAATAATTAGTTACGTAGCTGTTTGGTTACGGTGCGAGCGTGCGGAGTGTCCATTTACCGAGCGATCGAGTAACGAGAGCGTCTCTGAGCTTGCGCCTCGATTTACTTCCAGGTGAACGGAAAAACCTGCGGTCTCGTAAAACGGGAATAAAGCGACCACGTCCGAGCATCGTTAGTCAAGCTGTCGGATCAACGAGACTCTTTCCAAAAGTTGAGCTTTGAAAACGATCGAAACGGACGGCGTGGCGGAACAAACTGGACATTGACGTTTGAAAGAGCGATTTAGCGAAAGAATAGTTCGTTCGGCGGAAAGAGGGAGTAAAAGGCCTCGAGTTACCTCCCGCGGAGCAAACCAGAAGCCAGGAAAGTGGCGCAACGCTGGGCTCACCGCGGAGTTTCGTCTTTCACCGCAAAACCGAGCCGAGAGGAAGCGAGTTAGGTTCACCTTTAGACCCTGTTTACAGGGTGTCTTGAATCCGGATCGAGCGAACAGCTGATCGACGTAAATGCGATTGTTGTATGTTTATTTAATACGTATCTTATGTCCATAAATACTAATAATAATGATTTGCAAGTGATAATGTATCAGCGATCGTCTACGAGAAGAGGCAGCAGCGAATGACCTCTCGTGCGTACGCCTACTAAAATCCTACGCGCAAGTCAGCTGTTCTCTTAATCATCCGTGGTTTAATTGCTTTTACACGCGTAACCGAAGCTGAACAGAAAGTTACGAGGGACAGCCCGTATAGTTACCAACGTTTTCGTTACGAAACGTCTTTCTCGATGCTGCCGCGCCCTTCTATTTTCGAGCACGAAAAGCGGATTCGTCGAACGTTCCTTGATTACCTTCGAGCAAAATCAACCGAAGGTTGCGTCGCGAAGAAGGCAACTTCCTCGACTGACGTCACGGCTCGACATTAAAGCGAGCGTCGATCAATTAACGTAATTTCGTTAGTCGATAGTCTGGTAAAACGAGCTTTGGCAAGCGTCGTCGCGCTTTAACACGGCAAATGGTTTCGATCGATATCGACGCGACAGAGCTTCTTAAACGATATTTTTCACAGACGGTAGATTATTTTACGTACACGTAGTAATCGATAAGTTTTATTCGAATCGAGTGACCTTATTCGTCTGGATAATTCGATCCGGTAAAGGAAGTCGCAAATTTTCTATCCGATTACCTCGAATCGAACGCGGTCGTACACCTCGAATTACGTTTCATCGTCCATCGGGCGGACGTTGAAATCGGGTCACGATACGCGATCACGGTCGCGATGCCGGGACTCGATCGAGAAGAAGCTGGAAAAAGTAATCTCTGGAGAATAGAGAGCGCGCTAGCGTGAAACTTAATCTCGGATCAGACCACGGGATTAGCAGCGGCTTATCGTGTCTGACGAACCTGGCCAACGATTTGTCGCGAGACAAGGAGCGGATTAGCGCTCCGTGTTCGAACGCGGTCTTGAATCAAACGATCGATTTGGATTTTAAAAAGTCGGCCAATTTATGGAACAATTTCACGTTGCCTCGTGAATGCACGATTTGCTCGATATTTCGCTGATCTCCTTGCGAATTCCTCTGTCCGTTATTTAATAACTAATTCTCGTCGGCGAACGCTTTGAACAAGAATTTCAGCCACTTGCGAGAGATTCGACTAACTAGAAACGGGAAAGTTGGAAACGCGATGTCGATGGAGACGAGAGGCCGCGAACTAGACGAGTAACCAGAACGCGGAAATTAATTTCCGCGGTTGGAAACGGTTGGCGGTGCGAAATCTCTGACGCTCGTCGAACCAATTCCCGACGATAATCGTTCCCTCCCAATTATTTCCCGCTCGTTGCTCGCACCTTCAGCCTATTTCGCTCGCGGATTCCATCCACGAATCCTTCGATTCCTCCTAGGACCGGGTAGCTCGGGTAAACGCGAGATCATCGATTCTTCTTTTGCTAATTACTTCCGTTGCCCCTAAAAACGAAGTCCGCGGAATTTTAACGAGTTCGCGACTCGATATAACGCGATAGCGTGGAGATGCTATTCCTTTTATCCCCCTTTCTGTTGGCTCAAATTTCATTCGATTGCGGAACACATCTGTGATGACGCTTCTCCTCTCCAATCCAGATTTTACGTATCATGCTTGAACTAAACAGAGACAAGGTTCCTCTCGTTTATCCCTTTAGATCTTTCTAAGTCACAAGAGAATAGGAGTTTCAGTTTAGATAAGTCCCTTGGAATTTTTTAATTCGTAGTACTTTTAACTAATTAAAACATTTATTAAGAATTTTTAAATATTTAATTAATCTTTCAAGAAATTACACGCACGTCTTTAACAGTTCAAGGATAACATAAGACTGGTTATAAATTAATTGAACATCATCGCATTGATGCGAACATACCACTTGCAACCCTCATTCACTCCAATCACGCTTCAAGGGATAATTATAAAAATTAACGGGTCACTCAAATAACATAGAACCAGTAAATGCCTACAAATTGATAATTGTTCTGATTTGAAAAATATCTTCCTGGTCTTCTTTGCTGGCGTTGCGTTTCGATCAAGAGTTCACGGGCGAATCGAAAGAAAATGGTCGACGTTGAATCGTGGAAAGCCATTGTTCGCGCGTAGATGAAAGGGGAACGGTAGATATTGGCTACTCTCGAAACAATAGTCACAAAACAGAGAAACCCGAGAGTCACGTATCGAATACAGTTTTGAGAAGTACCTCGTATTTTACCTGTGCCTTTGAAACGTTTGTACGGGAGGGTTTCGACGGACGCGTAAAAACAATTTCGAGGAGAAGCTATCAGCGGTGTATGTACATCGAGGCGGTTAAAAGACCGACGAATGGAACGAATCGATTTAACTAATTTCGTTACTCTGTTTTTTTCAAAGTACGATAGTCGTTCGATCGTAGAAGAATTCGCTTCAACAAGTTTCTGAGCGAGAGAAACGCATCCCTTCAGTTTGTTCGGACTCGTTAATTTAGTTTGATTCAGTTTCTCAGCGGTGGCTCGTTATATTGCACTTTAACGCCCGTATTTGTCTATAGCTTCGGGCGTCGAAAGACCACCCTCTTCGTTTGCATTCCGACCGATCTCGCGTAAATACAAGTTGGAAAAGTCTGCCGTTGGCAGATCAAAGAGACGCGAGTCCGGTTAGCCCGCGGTACTATTGTTCGCGAACGAATCGACTAATATACCTTGCTAGCTCGCGCCTCTTTATTGATCGATCTACTCCTTACCGAATTTACCCTAAACGAGCTCGCCGTGATATTCTTCGCTGCTGGCCTTTTCCTTAATAAAAAATAAAGGAGTTGTAATAAGCACCTACGACTAATTTTATTGTTTTTTTCGATACACTTTATATACATCGTAATTGTATCTTACATTTAACGAATCACCGTTTAAACATCTTATAAAGAACGGTGTATAAAATAGTTGTATGGCTCTGTGCGTACACGTCCTTTGTTCGCATTCGTGTCCGTACGTACGCGGTTATCATGAAACCAAGCTGGAACCTTTGATTGTACTAGTCTTAAACGACGTTAAAGGAACCATCGAAGCTAAACGATTAAAAAAATAAGCAGTTTCACGTTCCGAAGCATGTCAACCGAATAACGTGGATTACGAGTTATGGAGAACTTTGTTGAAAGCATTGTAAGATGTTTCCAAATCGAAGATCAATTGCCTGACTTGCGTGTCGGATAACTCGTCGGAGGCAGACATGTTGTTCAGGGTCTGTAACCACTCTGCAACTTTTTCTTTGCCGTCGAAATCGCTCGGTAGTATGCTTAGACGATTCATGGTGTCCATCAAGTCTCTTAAATCGGGGTGCAGTTGATCCATTGCTTTGATTTCAAGTCGCAATTTGTCCATTAATGTGATAAACAGAGATACAATGTCAGCTATACATTTTGAGGTATTTCCCTTGTCGTCTTTTATGGTAATTGGTCTGTCTTCCTTGATCCTTTCCAGAGCAGCTGGACAGTCTAGTCGGAATGCTCTGGCAAAGGCATCTATTGTAGGGAACTGATCACTCTGCACCTAAACAAGAATTGACTTGGTAACATTACATCGAAAATATGTAACAGATATTAAGATACGTAATGGACCATACAAATACCTGTTTGAAGGCAGCTCTGTACTGTACCAACAGTTTGCTACAAGCAGCTGTATATTCTTTGGGAGTCACACAATCCCTGATGTAAGCCTTCTCTAAATGCTGCAACGTATTTACAACTGCATATAAGTCTGCTTGATTATCGTGTTTTTCCCTTTCTCTGGCATTTTTATATAATTTCACTTCCTCGTAAAGTTCAGGTCGGTCTTGCGCTATTGACATTATTACCTGTAAAACAAATATATTGTAACCGAGACACGAAACTTTTGACAAACAAGCTGGATTAGGTTATGTACACCGATGACAGTAACGATCATTCGCAGTGTTAGAAAAAGATACATGAACACGATGCAAATACTGAACGACAAAGAACATTACGTTTCCTGTGTATTATTAACGTACACATAATGAAGATTAGATATGGAATGATAAAATGACAAATACTCTTGCGGAATAAGTGACACGAACGCATAACCTAAAATCGGTTTTGAAACGATTCCATACCTTGCAGTTATTGATGATTCTTTTCAGTAGTTTGAAATTAAAAGAACTGTTGCTTTAAATTCTTGTAAAACTGACAATGCACACGCATACAAACAAACTCTTTGTGACAGTAATATGCAATGGAATGCGGCGACAAAAAACTTAGCCACCTAGATGTAGTGTTGTTAACTCTACTGGTACATTCATGTTGCAGCTGTTGCACTGCGTGTCAGAATATACTACTCACGCCATTATAGGTATTATGGTAGTCTAAAATATCGACACCTCTGAAGACATCATTTTTGATAGGTGATATTCTTCAAAAAAGAGTTTTAAAACATTTGAAATGTCTAGTGAGGAATAGAAGAAGTGTCCTCACGAAATGCTACATTTTATGGACCACAAAATGTCTAACCATCTAGCGGTAGAAAGAGGGAACTAAATCTAAAAAATGAGGGGCCGAACACGCATATACGGAAAATAAAAAAATGAATATTTCGGCACTTTGATGACGTAGTATGGTTCCTGAGGCATTTAGAAACAAATTTCTATTAGGGTTTGATGCGTTTTGATGCCTAATAAAGCCAGAAAATCAATTTTTGTCGAATTCGGTCGAAAACGGTACAGGTGGCGCCATCTAGCGGCGAGCGGCGGAACTACAAAAAACTAAAATTTCGATTTTCTCGAAAACTAGGGACTTTTCCGAAATTCTGAGATATACAAATTGTTCCTTGTCTCCTACGGAATCGAACGAATCCAATTACAGCCTGCTAGGACCATTATTAAAGAAAATAGAAAAATAGCCCTTTTCATGGACTAAAAAATTGCCGTCCATCTAGCGGTGAAAGTTCGAACTACACAAAAATAAAAATGCAATTTTCTCGAAAATTAGCGAACTTTGAGTACTTCTGAGGCACAGAAAGTGTTATGTGATCGCATCAGAAGCAAAATAAAGCAACAGAAGCTTCCTAAAGGCTTTAATAAAGAAAATAAAAAAAATGTCATTTTATGGAGAAAATTTGTGGCGCCATCTAGCGGCGAAACTGCGAACTAAACTGAAAAAACGTATGCCCGTACACGCGTTAAGGAAAAATATAAAAAGTAATATTCCGCAACTTTGACGACCTAGTATGCTTCTTTGGCCATTCTAAATCAATTTTTGGTTAATAAGTTATTCATTTTTTTGCCTATTAAGCCCAGAAAATCAATTTTTATTTGACCCCTCAAAGCGTATTCGGACATACGGTTTTTCGGTTTAGTTCGCAGTTTCGCCGCTAGATGGCGCCACAAATTTTCACCATAAAATGACATTTTTTTTATTTTCTTTATTAAAGACTTTAGGAAACTTTTCTTGCATTATTTAGCTTCTAATGCGATCACGTAGCACTTTAATGCGATCGCATAACACTTTCTGAGCCTCAGAAGTGCTCAAAGTTCACTAATTTTCGAGAAAATCGCATTTTTATTTCTTTGTAGTTCCAACTTTCACCGCTAGATGGACGCCAATTTTTTAGTCCATGAAATGGGCTATTTTCCTATTTTCTTTAATAATGGTCCTAGCAGGCTATAATTAGATTCGTTCGATTCCG